CCTCCAGCTTACTGGTGAGCCACCAGGTAGCATTGTGAAGACTAAACCTTTAACGTGGCGATTAGAAACCGACATCGCAACTAAACTGGAAAGTATTTTTAAGATTTGGCTTTTGGTGACAGATTTATCCTTTTAATTATATCAGATCAGCCCCAGGTATTTGTTTTTAAATTATACAAATGCAGTAAGATGAAAAAAAACCATCCTCTCAAACCTTTGCTTGAAACTCATTTGTTTCTAAATGCCTAACAGTGAAATTTGCACATCAATCAGACGAATTCTCACAATTATCTTTCCTAAACTCTACTGAAAATCTGGTGCTAAACATATTCGTTTATACTAAAAGTCTAAATATTTTCCTCAAATGAAAAAAAAAGTTACAGTAATTGGTGACTTACACTGCATTTCCTTTAGTTTTAATTACTACTTTAAAGCCATCAAACGGTTACAGATTACACTCAAACAGAATGGCTACTTCAAAGGAAACATCAAAAATATAAAGTCTGAAACTTAAATTAACCTTGAAAAAACTTCCAAAAAAGTTGTAGATTGCACGCGTGATAGCATACATTAATATCAATGTCACAATATATAAGATCTTTGTAGCAATCTCCGAATTTCTGTAACATATGAACCCGGAAAGTCACTTAATTTAAATTTTTGTTAAGTAAAATCCACATCCTGTACTATAAGATTGCCATTCGCATCAATGGATTATTTAGAAAATGCCCGTGTCGTTATTTACATTGAATGTTACATTGGTGAAAAGTATAACATCTAAAAACCATGCTTTTGCTGATTTCGTAAAATTGAGGAAACCAGTGCTATTATATAACTACAACCTAACAAACATTACTTTAAGTAATGCTACTATATTTACTGACAATGCTTTTGTAGTGGCACCAGAAATAATCATTATGGGAGGGCTTAGCAAATGGCTGTTATATAGTACAGCTTCGAATAGCCTAAAACTGAGTTAAAATGTAATTTAGATTTAGAAATTAAATAAATGCCGATATGCATCTAATTTTTGATATTTGCCAACAAGATTGATACACACAGTTTCTTTTTTAATACAAATATGTTTTAATATGTAAACAATAATACAATTTACAATAACAGTTATTACAAAAAATGATCTATGTAAAAAAGATTTACAAAGTTACAAACAATATTGAGTCTTTTTTTCTGTTCTGGAACTTCATTGATTTCGAGTTGATGTAGGTACAATTCACATCACAATTCTTCTTTCTTCACCGGTAACACGTTGAGTTTTTCACCGATTTAGTTATATAATGTTTTTGTAAAATTATTAATGTCCGATGCGAATCCACTGAAGTTACGTGGTTTGTAATGTTCGAAATTTATAAATGTTCCTGGTCAAATATCTAGTTTCCCGATTAATAAGCGTTAATTACAATTATAACTTCCGAGGTTTATAGTATACCAACTGTAGCAAACCAAAAATATATACTGTCTTTTGGCGCATCGCGTTGGTTAATTTATCGGCGCGAGGAGTTTCTAGAAATTTCAGCTTACGCAACAATACTGACGATATACTAGTGTTTACCTACACACATATATTGGTGATTCTTACACTCGAGAATCTTCTACAACTTTAGTAAATAAGCTGGAATTTTGCAATACAGATTTAACAATATAAGTTATGCACATTTTAAAATATAAATTTATTTTAAATAAATATCAATATTAATAGATATATAATAGTAAATCCGTCACACGGCCATTAGATTTTTGACGCGAATTCGACGTGATGTAATTGCTGCATGCAACTGTTTGACCAACAGGCTATTCTTTTTCTTCATATCAGCATAAAAGCCTTCGTCAGACTTCAGACAATCAATCAGCACCCTGTTATTTGACTTTACAAGTCATAATAGTGTATATTTGTTCTTGGGGAACGTTTTTTTATTTTTATTGGCGCCGACAAAAGCTCTATCAGACAGCATACTAAATTGTCTAATATGTTTGTAAACAATTTACTGTAACAAAAACACCTGTGAGAAGCTTCGGGAATGATAAACCTTATAAAATCAGATTCATGAATGTAAGCCGATTTATATGATTTCTTTATCTATATCTGGAACACCTCACTCCTCTAACTCTCTGGTCGCCTGCCCGTACATTGAATTTGAATGTTGTTACTAGTGATGACTTGTTATAAATTACAAAAGAAAAAGACTTGTCTCTCTTACTAGCCTGTAATTGAAACTAACAATAAAGCTGTGTGCAGGTTAGGAAAGAACAAACTAATGATACGATTCTCCCCTCTTGGACGTGCCAACTACCTATACAATCCGCAAGATGGAATTTAAAAACAACCAGTATCGTCCCAGCTTTCAGTGAAATCTTAAAACGAAAAATTGATCGCAGTGATGATTTATAAAGAACAGCCAGCTATAACAGATGGTGTTTACTATTGTTTGTAGTTAAGCACAAAGCTACATATTGGGCTATCTGTGTTTTGCCCACCACGAGTATCGAAACCCGGTTTCTAGATCTGGGGTGTCCCAAATTGGGAAAGTGTCAACGGGTAATAACAAATACTGTTTATAAGGTACTCTCTGTATCTGCATATGTATTGGATGGGGGCCTCAGTCAGAATGTTCGAAAAAGATTTGTGATAAGACTTGGAAAACCTTGTTCTAGACTTCGGAGTGTTATGTACTGAAGAAGCAACGTTACTCAAACTCTTGATGAAACCATCGTGGCAAAATATTGAGTATAAATAAAATGATCTCTGGATAAATATTTTCTTAAGGTAAATTTCGGATGCACATGAATGATGGAAGTAAGTGTTTAACTGCTTCAGGATAAAAAAAAAAAACGTTGCTGTTGGTACAGTGGAAATCACGTGTGCTAAGAAGAACGTGCTTTTAACATATTTGCAAGTTTACAAAACTATAAATTTGGTCTACGATAAATTAGTATAACAATTTGAAATTGGTTGCACTGTTTGATGAAACAAAATTTGATGTAGATATATCTTACTTAGTCAGAAATAAACACTAGAATATCAGAAGCTTTTCGTCAACTATGCATTACATATAAAAAACAACCCAAAATCATATAAATCATGTATTAATCTTTTTCTCCATGCACTTTTAGTTAAACCTGATCCAAATAATGAAAAATAATTTATACATTAGTTAAGATGGTCATCATGCAAGTTTTCTTGTTTAAACCCTACGTATACATGTGAAGGGTCTAGGTGCACACGTTACAACCTTTTTTACAGTTATATTCAAAATTGAATTAACCTATATTATCAATGTATGTCAATAAACTTGACATCAATACTTAGTTTATATTCATATTGTAGTACAAGCTTTACTTTTTTAATTTAAAAATGAAATACTCAAATTCTCAATCTTCATTTCCCCTGTGTTAGATGATGTGCATCTGCTCTGAATTGTCCTTTTTAAATGTTCTTTCTTCTCTTATGTGGGTTTCAGAATGTCCACCAATTAGATACATCAACTATACATATTTACAGACCATAATTTAGCATCAAAATTACCTAAGTTCTTTATTTCCTGAGATATCAATAAATGTTTTTACCCAACCATAGAAGCTCCTCTCAAATCTTTCTGCGTTTTATATAATTTATTTACTTATGCCTACTTATCAATGGTATATGTTTATAACCAATAGAATGGCCACTTGGTGAACTACATGATTATGAAGATTCTTTTAATCTATTTTGGTAAAAGGAGTCACTTTCCAAGCAGGTTTTCTTGGGTGTAGACTGAGGTCAGTGCTCCAGTATTAAAGAAATGAAAGTTTTTGAAACTATTTACAGTTTAGTTAGAAATCCAGATAAATTATTTTAGGGCATTCTATTTTTACTATTTGAATTTTCATTTGTATTTTAAAGTTCATGTTCGAAGGCTACACGAATTATTTTTTGGACAACTAAAATAGTGTGAAAAAAGTAATTTTTGAGTACAAATTGGCCTATAAGTGGTAAAGTTCTCGTCTTTGTGTATAATTTTCATTTTTTTAAATAAAAGTAGCTAAAATGTATAAATTCAAAATTTATTAGGTTAATACAGGAAACCTTAAATGAAAAAAAATACTGAAGAAAAAATTACTTATAACAACACACACTATGAAGTTACAATTGACTGTGCATGTTGGTAACCTGACTTTTTACACAAGTCTGTCCTGCTCTGATAAAGGCTTTTGACATACTCAGAGGGTCTAAGTGCAACTGTAAACCAATACAAATGAATCAACCCAACTTTAAAAATCTATTAGCTTTGACTGTAAGAATAAATAATGTGTAATTAATTGTCTGTTACAATACACAGTCATTCTGAATTTATTTTGCCTTTTTCAATTTTATAGGCTAGTCAGCCTGACTCGGTAAATTCAAACAAATCTTTAGGAAAAACAATGTTAAAAATTCCCATTTTTTGTGTATAACAGACTTCTCATGTTTACTAAAAGCTTGCTAAATTTCATAGAGATACAAATAGTAAATCCAGAATTACTGTAAACATTAACTCTTCAGTACATGCTCGGTCTACTGGATTGACATTGTGTACACAGAGTTAAGATCTGTGACATAAACTATTGTTATAAGCCATATTTTTATTGAACGACAATGGTTAGAAAACTGTGTGGGAAGATGTGCATGTATTAACAATATTTGTAACTTCCTATTTTCTAAAGTCCTACAGTTTCCTAGTGTATCCAGGTTATTATACAGCTTTTTATAAGTTACTTTAAAACAAATTGTTTCCTAGGGAGTTTTTTGTTCTTGATATATTCAATCTTATCATTATAAACATAGATTAAACATGAACTCTTTCCTCAGTTTTTTCTGACATTATGAACACCATTTAATAATAAGTGCAGATGTAGTTAGTTATATCAGTAGGAAATACTTTGATAAATGTTCAAATATGTTGTAGAGAAATGAAAAATAATAATATGACATCAGTTAAGAAATTGAATCACTCTGCTCAAGCAACTTACAAAGTAGAACATTTTATACTGCTTTTGTGTGTTTGAAAACAAATATAATGTTAATCAGTACTTCTGTATATAAGACAAAAAAAAAGAGGCAATAATATTTTGACAAGGTTTATGATTCACTATCATAAGAAATACTGTACAAATATTAAAATATTTTAGTTGAATAAAAGATGCGATTTGGTCACATCACTCGTAACCATAGCAACTACTGTGTAGAAAATGTTGCAATCACTGGTTTCTCAGATGAGATCTGCCACTGAAACAAACGCAAATAAAAAAAAAAATTATTAAAACCATTCATAAGGTAATATCAATTAGAATAGATTTTAAAAACAAGCTCAGAATAGCGTATATATCTGTAACCACAGCAATAAAATCTTTCACTATTTTATCATCATAGCTAAGTTAAATCACTTTGTATCTTACCATCCCATATGCTTCAACACCAATTTTTCTGGTGGTATTAAACATCAGTAAAATTACATAAACATCATTTAATACTAGAGTATTATGCTTTTCATGTAGTATGATGTCTGTATTTTTCAAAAATTAAAGGGTTTTGTAATTGTTAACTGGGGGGGGGGGGGTCTCGTGCTTTGCATAAGAAACATTGTTTTTATTGTGGTATTTTGTATTTGAATGCACAGTTTATAAAATGTAAAAGCAGTGCTTTATGTTCAAAGTAATTAGAATGGTTAAATGACCTGCCTACACTAATCACGTAAGAGGTTAGGTTTGTAGAGTTCTAAATAAATCTTATGGGTATTTAAATGAATGTGATGTTAAACCTATTACACAATACATGATACCACTAAACACCTTTGTACAAAAACACACTTTGAGACAATTGATGCGATCAAAAATGACAAACCAATAGACTTATCTAGTAAGAGACACCAGATCTAACAAAGCTTTCAAAACTTTGGTATCAGGGGCAAATATTAAAACTCAACACAGTGGTGGTGGTACTGGTACTCTAAGTATCTATAAAGAAATGAAGAATATCACACGCAAAACCTAACATGTAAACACTGCTGTCTGAGATTATCCTCCGAGGATGAAAGATCCATTCCCCAAATACCTTTCCCTTTGCAATGCATAGTAATATCTACACCCACCCTTACTTACACACATGGTGATGACATCCATACTTCTCTACTCCTAATTTAATTTTTGCCTAGTTTAATAAGTTTCAAAAGCTTCCCATACAAGCACATACGTTACTCTTTTAACTACATAGATAAAACTAATACATGATTTACAAATAAAGCTCATGCAAGTTGTATGTGTGTGTGTGTTGTTATGGCAGAACAATTTTTCATGTTTCACATGTCCCAGTCATAAGATTAGAGAGAAGTATCTTGATGATAATTAAGATACACCGACATTCTCTTGTTTTAGAAAACCATAAGTTCTAAAACAGTGCCAAGATGTACTACTGTGTACCATCAACCAATGTTTTATAGATATATACTGTGATACAATAAACAAAGCTACAAATTAATGTATCAAAATAGCAAATATGATTTAATTCTTTCACAGTGGGCTTGTGCAATTTGCAGCAATCAAGTTGTGAATTTCACTGGTACGAAAAAACATGCAGTTATTATGAGATTTTTTAACATATTCATTCACAAACTGGTAAGCTTTTGTTAAAGATCAATAAGTATCTTGTACACCAAGAATGATGTTATTATAATTAAGTTTTTACTAAAAATAGTATTTTTGTGTTCTAGTTACTTGCATTCAAACTATTAACAAATCAAGTGGAAGGTAATTTTTATTTTAAGTATAAAAATACTTTTCTTCGTCTTATAGTTTTTATATTTCATTTGCATAACCTCTAGAATCTCCTAAAAGGATATCAAAAGTTTTTTCAAGATAAATATTTATATTTTATTTTTCATTTTCTCTACCATATCACTAACTCTAGCTATTATCATCAATGTACAATGTGATGAAATAATTATAATTAGGAAATAGAAAAAATATACACCTTTTAATTTTTTGTAGAATATCTTTAAAGATTTTCCTTTTGTTAAATTCATAATTTTAGGTCTTTTCCTTTTCACATATAGTTAATTTTTAATGTTTTATTTTCCTTTCTTGTCCTTTACCACTTATTATTCATCTCAACAGAGAATAACAGTGCCCTCGAAGCATATTACAGTTTCTTTGGGAGACAAGCACAACTCTCAGCAAAATTTTTGTTCAGCATTTAATATTGTAAGCCTTGAGAACGAACACAAAGTATGATCCATATTTACAAATTGTTTAAACCTTTTAATTATGCATTTTAAAACATAACTAATATATAATTAACTAAAATAAAATAGGATGATCTAAATACAATTTAAAGCATATCTCTAACAATAACATATTTATGTAAGAAACAACCGAAGTGTTATGTTCGATCTCTGATGCATAAAAGTATTTTTAATCTTAAAATCAAAATTACTTTGCATGTTGGATAGTAAACATTCAAAAAGAAAAAAATTTCTGATAAAAACATTAATAAAAAAACTTAACACGTAATAAAAAAACTGATATTTTGTTTACAAAAGCCTTGTAATGTTTACTGATAACCTGCAAAATTTCGTGGAGATATGCTTGCTGTATTAAAAGTTCTAGCATGAAAATTATAACAGGTATAAAATGGCTATGAAGTCTATTCATGGGACCGAGCCCATAGTGAAAAAAAAAAAAGAGTTAAAACTCTTACCATTCATGGGCATTTCATCCACCTGTGTACTGTAGTACTGTTCAATATCTCGAAGAATCCTGATGTCATCATTTTTTACAAAGTTAATTGCCACACCCTTCCTTCCAAAACGTCCAGAACGACCAATCCTGAATGAAATTAGTTATTGTTTTTAAATAGGGAATGGACACTATATTTTATTCAAAACTATTAACAACAATAAGATCTAAAACAAGAATAAAAGGCCAACTTCTGATACACTGGCATTGTGGTTTGTTTGTCAACCTATTTCAAGAAGCAGCTGAGAAACTTCATGCATACTTTTTGTGGTTAAAAACACTTCATTTATAAACACCAATAATTAAATGCAATAATACTTGCCATACTTTTAATAAACAATGTAAAATTATATCTTTAGACGAACTGAATTAAAACAATGTAATTTTAATAGGTATGTGACACTCTACATACATCTACAACATAAAGTCAAACTTGTAAACTATGCACTGCAGTTTCGTCTAAACTTCATATGCCAAGAAAGAAAAAATATCCTCAGCAATTTCTGTAACTAATACAGTGACTGCATAAAATGAGAAGTAAGAATTTTTAATGTGTATTTTCTTTACCTGTGGATATATAACTCTCTGTTATTTGGTAGATCATAGTTAATAACAAGTGACACCTGCTGCACATCAATTCCTCGAGCCCATACATCTGTTGTGATCAATACTCGGCTGAAATAAAAACATATAATTGCTATCCCAATTCAATATGAGAATACATAATATTCAACACCTTGTGCAAAATTGGTAGTAAAAGCACCCTTATCAACTACAAATGTAAATGTTATCATGTAGATTAGATGTAATATATACTATTTTAACTTTGGTCTTACTTCAGTTACTTTTATCCTCACCATACAAAAAAAATTGTATTTATATAGAATGGACAAATTTGAGACCGAGATTACTAAATTATTTTAAAGAATAAGGTGAACATTAATGACAAATGTATTAAAAACTACTTGAACTTTTTTAAGTTTTACATTCAAACAGAAACTAACTGAAAGAGTTCTGTAAAGAGCTAGTTGTGCTTGTTTCATAGACATTTCATCAACATAAAATAATAAAATACCTAAATATTTTATTGAGACTTGAAATCTAATCTTTCTCAGTAAAACAAAGTTTTAGATGCAAACTTATGACTTTCAATAATGACCAATAACAAACACAAATTAAATATGAACATTTTACAGACTTAAGCTGAAGCTTTATTATACTTTGTATGACTATTATTCATTTAATAACATCATTATAATTTTATATGATTGAGACATGAACATACTTATATTAAATATTTTTTATATGTAATATGCCAGCAGCCCAACAAATAAATAAAACATACATAAAACTACATTTCAAAGCTTTATTGATGAAGAAACAATCACAACTGAATAATCTGGAACTGGGAAAAATTCACCATTATTTTACTTAGTATATACGAGTTAAACATAAGAAACACTACCTCCAAACAGTATAGTCCTACAATTACTTGCCATAATAAAAAAATCATGGTTTTACTTGTATCTATTTGTCTAAATGACAGACTAAAGTTTGTAGTTGTTACTTACAGGAAACTATGTAACTACTTTAATTACTATACCTTACTATCCACAACTAGTATTCTTATATGCAGTGTTAACAGTAGTTATCAATGATCATTATCTAAAACAATATATCCATGTCAAATACAAATCCTCATATAGTATTCACAATATGTAGCTACTAACGTTCCTCTTCTAACTTATAAAATGATTTCCAGTAACTTTAACTGATGAACTCTAAAATAGTTGTTCTACAGAAAGTCAGTGAGAGATAATTCTATGTTTAAGAAATTCATTTTTCATAACATTCTCAAAAGTGGTTATACCAACAACCATCAGTAGTTACTATTCATCTACACCTATAACTATCAGTAGTCGATATTCATCTATACCTATAACTATCAGTAGTCGATATTCATCTATAGCAACAACCATCAGTAGTCAACATTCATCTATACCAACAACCATCAGTAGTTACTACACATCCACACCTATAACCATCAGTAGCTGATATTCATCTACACCTATAACCATCAGTAGTCGACATTCATCTATACCAACAACCATCAATATGTGCTATTCGTCTATACTTATGACTATCAGTAGATACTAATTATTACCTACAATTAGATATTTTAGAAAATCTACTCTAAACTACAGGTAAGAAGGTAATATCTATTTTTCATAATACACACAACCAATACACAATGTGGTTGTCAATATTCATACCAACAACTAGAAGTTCTTAAGTTAGTTGTTCTTTACATATATTTACATTTTAAAGTAATTTTCTTTATAATTTAATAATTTTAAAATACCAACTTTTTTCATCCATAACTCACAATAGCACATATGTTAGCAATAACTTATGTTTATTTTCAATATTTACTCCTTATTGCTATGCTCACCTCTGTCCAGAACGAAACTCTTTCATTATAGTATCTCTTTCCCTTTGAGGCATGTCACCATGCATCGATGATACTGTGAAGTTAGCTTCACGCATTTTCTCTGTCAGCCAGTCTACCTATTATGTCCAAAGGAAAACAATGTTACGTTTCTTACTTAATGATGATTTTTATTGGGCCAGAGTTAAGCAGCAGAAGTCACCAAACTATTTAAATATTTAAGTAATTTTTATTTGTTTTAAATTACTTCTATAGATTTACCTTTCACTAAAATTTATCAATATTGCAATATGCACAGAAAGAAATTCTGAAACTGAATAGAAAATTACCATTTTATTAATAATATATATATATATTTTTTTCTTTTATTTTGGTGCAAATCCATAAAATGAGTTGGCAATGTGTTCTGTTTCCACAGCAAGGAATTAAACCCTGTACTTTAGTATTTCAAGTCCATAAACTTGGGGTTGATCCACCAGGGGACCATAACATAATTAATAGAAAATATATGGGAACATTAATTTAGTTACATACTGACTTGCTTCTGAGAATTGCACTGTAATTATCAAAGAGAAACAAAATTTGTGAATCAGTATTCAGCAGAGTGAAAACATAAGAATTTTAAAACCGTGGATCATCAAAACTAATATGAGATTGAAAACCATCATTAGGTTTTTAGATTTACAAATACTGTTATCAATACCTGTAAATACAGATTAACTGGTAATAAATGTATACAGTAACAGGTAATATTTCACACAAAAGTACTGTGTAAAATACCAATGTTCAAAAGAGTTGAATACTATTTACATCTTTAACTCTTAACTAACCTTCCTTTTTGTGTTACAGAAAATAACAGCCTGTGTTATAGTGAGGGTGTCATAAAGGTCACACAGTGTGTCAAATTTCCACTCTTCACGTTCCACAGCCACAAAGAATTGTTTAATTCCTTCCAATGTCAATTCATCACTACAAGAATGAATCAAAATAATGTTACACTTTGTAACATAACAAACAAATCAAATTCTCAATATAATATAGACTTAATGATACTATATTACATGTTGGTTGTCTTGTTGTCAGATAACCCAAAAGTAAAATATAAAACTCATTAAAAATGCTCACCGTTTTACCAATATACGAATAGGATCTGTCATAAACTTGTTAGTCATCTCCAATATTTCATGTGGTAGAGTGGCAGAAATTAAGAGAACTTGAGTACAAGGTGGTAAATAACGATAGACATCATAAATCTGCTCCTTAAAACCTTCCAAAACAAAGATAATACAGGTTCAAAAATTGAAATTTTCTGATACAACTAAAAGTTCAGTTTTAAGGTTTGTATCTTTAAATTTGTCACTTTAAATGAACTTAGGCTGTAATAAAAAGGTAACAACAAATAATTTTGTGATTTAAAAATTAGTTGCTAATGGTGGAAAAAAAATAATAATTTAGTATTGCTATTCTTTCACTAAATTTCTGAAATTCAGAATAAGATAATCTAAAAAAAAGCACTATGAAAATTCTTTGGAAGTTAGTTTTTAACTTTTCAAAATATATAAAACATACCTTTATTTAACATTTCATCAGCTTCATCCAGAACCAGCATTTTGATAGCTCTCGTTCTCAAGTTTCTTCGACGAATCATGTCTGAGAGGAAAAAAATGTATTCTATTAATATATATATAATCCAATTTAAAAAACTGTCCCTGGATGTCTCAACATTAAACATAAAGGCTTATAACATTAAAATTCAGGGTTTGATTCCCATGGTGGACCGTGCAAAATCGTATATTTTCTAAAACTATTTTTTTTCCACATCTGCAAAAGTGTTTTATTTGTCTTTTATTAATGAAATTAGGTTTATACTTTTCCTAGCAAAAAAAACAGTAAAAATTAATATCCTCCACGTGGGAAATTTCATAAGGCTTAGCAACATACAACAAGTGGCAAATGAGTACAAAGGTACAGAAAGATAATTGTTTGCTTTATTTCTATATTTATTGTTTTAAGAAAAATAAGTTAAAGAGCTTATTTGTAAATGGAAATAATGTATAATTGTTGAATTGCGACTATTTTTCAAAATACTAGTCTACTAAAATACAGCCAAAATAGGTCACTTTGTAAAGGTCAGTTATATATTATTTGATACACTAACACGAGTGTGTGTACACCATGTCATTGTAACTTCTGTATTGTTAGCCAAGCATGGCTGGAAGTTCAATATATAAAAATATAAAATAATAAACATATATATATATA